ATGTATCAACACTACTTCCGCTTTCCTATCCTGCCGGTTTCTTCCAAAGTCCACGTGTCCGACTCTCTTCGAACGCCAGAAGTGGTGGGCGGAGCTAACGTCAAAGTTGATACTTGTCGATAATTATTTTGTTTTACTTGTCGACAGTTACTTCACTTTTCTTCATGGAACATCTTTAAATTTGGACTAGAAATGATACGCCATTATTACAATTTAGGAATGTCGACGTGCTTGTATCGAATATCAATGTTGGAAATTTTGAATTTGCATGGCCGCAGATATCGTCGACTGCAACGAGTCGGAAATACGTGTCTATGAATAAGGCCTCATGTTTATAATTGCTATGGAAGTTAAGGTTGATTTTCTAATCTGCTCAGGTTTTTGTAGTTTTTTATTTTTATTTTGGCAGATGTTAAAAATATATGTTTATTGAATGAATTAAATGATAAGAGATTTGTGGATTTCAGCACGGATTCGATAATGGCTCTCCACGTTATCACATCTATATCTGATCTGGAACTGCAAATTATCATCTTATGGCCTTAACAGAGTTGAAAAGTGTCTCTGCTTCATTGTGGTTTTCAACCTACAACCTCTTTATGTTAACAGACGTTGCAAGCTTCTCGCTACTATATCGCTATTTCTCTGAAAAATGTTGTGGCGAGCTACATTCAATAGTTCCACCCGTTCAAATATTTACAGCTAAGACCAACCGTTCAATCTACACAGGGTCGAATCATCCCCATTACCCCCGTATTCCACTGGTAAGAAAGGCAGCTTTTTCCCAAGAGCCTTGGCTTTTTGGAAAGACTCCCGAGAGGATGCTTCCCCAATAACTAAAACCTTAATTTCTTCAAAACTTGGGTCAACCGTTAACTATACTACATATACATATACGCATAATGTACATCCTACTTCCATAACCTAACCTCATTCAGTAAACCTCTTGCTTGGTTCTTGGGTGTTGTAATGGGAGGAAAATCGTGTATTGCTTGATTGATTTGTTTTTTTACGGTTTACCAACTTTTTCGGGTTATTCAAATCAAGAAAATATTTTGGGGTTGTAAGTATTATAAGATAATAATGATTTACTGATACAAGCCAACTATTTAACCCATAGCTGGAGAAGAAGAGTTTCTCAGGGGTAAATGTAACGGACCCGACTTGAACTCGAGTCTCCGATTTCCAATTCCGAGCCGTGCATATATCTTTATTTACACTTTTTTTTATTATTATTCCCGTCCGTTCTTTCTTTCTGTTTTTTTTTCTTTAAAATATTCTTATTCTTCATTTCCTTCTTTCTTTCTTTCTATCTTTCTTTATTTTCTTCGTTCTTTCTTTCTCTTTGCGTATAGGTTAAAATTCCCACTAATAAAATCTTCTCTTTCTTAGGGAGGTTAATGTCGAAATCAATCTATTTTACATATCTCTATCTATAAAAGGCAGGATGTGTGTTTGTGCGTGTGTGTGTGTTTAACGAATGCACTGCCGCAATTTTCGAAGGATTTGCACCAAAATTTACATGCACGTGCTTTAAGTTAGCGGGAAGGCCAAGGCCGACTTTGCATTTCCCAACTCTCATCGATAGTGGAAATAATCGATTTTTTTCATGCTTCTACGGCAGTTTTCATGTAGTTTGCGGCCATTTTCTACTGGCCAGAGTGAGAGCCAATAGCTGGCTGCCACGAATAGGCAGGAAGATTCTATTGGCCAGCGTGAGAGCCAACAGCGGACTGACATTAATGTTAACTAGCATGCAAAAAAATCGATAGCTGCATTCGGAAAAATTTAAATCTGCATGGCACTTTACTCCAATTGGCTCATTCGCTTGCTTAAAATCAACGTTGATTCTGATTCCCCAGAACTTGGTTGGGTGTGAAAAAGTATTTGTTGTTAACATTCTTTTTTCATTCGGTTTTCCAGATACGAGTCCTTTTTTTTAAAGCTGATCGTTTTGTGTTCATTTTGTTTAGTTCTTTTTTTTCGTAACAGATTTAATGTTTAGGATAGAGCTTAGAAAAAATTCGCAATGTGAGATAGGCAAGAAGTAAGGCATGTAGCAACATCAGCACAGCAAAGGGCACTCCTTTAAAGGCAAAGAAGGGCAAAAATATTTTAAGTCAAGTGATAGCGATTGCTGTATGAGTCGTACGATTTTTGAATCAAGCCTGGGCAACGCCGGGCCATGCTGCTAGTTCTAAATATGAACCTCAACATATTTGTCCTTTGTTTTTACACTGTATCTCTCACTAGGGAAAAAATGAGAAAGTTATTTCCTCAATTACCTTTATTTTATAGAAAATTGCTGGGAGTTTTGAAAGGCTGCATTTCCAACCCCCCACTTCTCTCCGTATTTCTAGTGTCCAGAAAAATGGTGTATTCAACTGCAGAAAAAAATACCTTTCTTTTACTTGAGTCAATATTTTGAAATCTTCGCACAAAAATCTTGCTAGGAACATCATGTAGACTCATATGTATTCAAAGAAGGCGTAATGCTTTTCGAAATCTGGAAACTTTAGAATGAGAAGATATTTTTGAAGATTCTTCAAATGATTTGCAACCCATTGTCTCTGCATAATCATTCGATATGTTGTATTGTATAGGCAACAGATGATAATAATCGCAATTATTGTAATGAGGAAATATGTTTTTATATGGAGTGTTCTAATTAAATAATATTGATCAATGTATCGTACATAATAACTGTTAACTAATGAGTAACATTTGAGCAAATTCGTCATCATAAATTACAACGGCTATGCGTTCAACGCTTCCCGTCAAATGCTAAACTAATAATTCTGCCAGGTTCTCAGATGCAAATAATGCAATTTCAGGTGACAGAAAATATAATATGTAAAAGAAATTTCTCGTTATTCGAGGATACATTTGGAAAGGAACTGTGAGTTTGTAAACAGTGAATATTACGGCAAATACTGCCAGATTCTTCGGTAAGGTGAATCGTGTTCTCTCAGTCACTGTGTTTTTATCCAAAAATAAATACGCTTAAATACACCTTCATCCCTGCCATGCGCCAACGTCTTAGGGGTAGAATCTCCGACTGACGCCAATTCAGCCTGTTTCGAACCTAGCTAGACGTAACCGGACGTCTGGCCACGCTGATGAGATTCGATACAACGAAACAGTCTGTGGATGACAATATATATATATATATATATATATATATATATGTGTGTGTGTGTGTGTATATATGTATGTATGTATTATGACAATTTTTTATGTTTATAACGTTCTTTTTATAGATACAAATATTTAAGTAAATGGTCTGTTTATAATAAACAGTATTAACAATAATTACTGACCTGAATGTCCGAAAAATTATCATAGAAAATATGCGTCTTCCGACAGGAATCGAACCTGTATCCTATACGGAACCGTCATATAGCCTGATGTGCCTTAACCGATTGAGCCACTGAGGAGCGTTTGGTTAGCAAGGTCGATTTTACAGTTTTTAAACACAATTCTCCATAGTTTCTCTCATACATTTATATCTGCTCAATGCGTATTCAAATGTAAACAAATGACGTCACACATTATGAAATGGACAAAGTCCGACAATTATTTTTTAAGACATACACATATGTGTGTGTGTGTGTGTATGTGTGTGTTTCATTAAAGACGACAGACAAGGCACTATGATTAAGCTTTTTTTTTTTTTTTTTAATTTTTCTTGTGTTCGAACAAGTGTTTTCTTTTCTGGAAATAGAGTTTGTAAAAATTGTCCAAATATTCTGCAATTCCGAGCGCTTCCGGTTATCCTTTTAGCCCTTATCAAGGCTGATTTTTTTTTTTTCACTTTTTAACTGTTTGTATGGATTGTGTGTATGTTCCTAGAGTTATAGTGATGTTTTATTTTCCGAACACAATCAGCACATTGTGGCCGTGTTCGTAGTTAATATTATTAAGTGTTGGCTTTTTATTTTTTATTATTGAGGCTTCCATTAGTTTTTAATCTTTTTTACATGTGAATGAGGTTATTATGCTTGTATTTTCTACTAGTATGTTTCGGATGGCGTCTAGTAAGTTTATGTGTGTGTTTAAATGGGTTCTGATTGAGCTGTGGTCAGATAGGTGTAACGCAAGTCGTGTGGATAGGCATGTAGTTGTGCGACCGATGTAATTATTTATGACTTCGGCTTGATCAAGAACACAATTCCTTAAGGGGCATTGAAACTCGTAAATAGTGTTCGTTCTTTGTAATTTTGATTTTGCGAGTGTGTTGGTATTTTGGGGTATTAGGTTAGCTGTTTTATATTTTGGGTTGTAGATAATTTTTTGTCCAGGTTAGTTGGGTTAGTGTATTTCTTTATGATCTTTCTAAGCAAAGATTCATCTTGTTTGTAGTTGATATGCATTTGACTTTCATAGAAAATATTTATGTTATTTTTGACTTTGTTCACTACCGTTATTATTTACTCTGGAACGAAATAGTCTAACTTGGTGGTCGATGAGGTGGTTAGGAAAACCGTTGTTAACTATAAATGCTGGGCAATTTCCTCGATGATGACAAAAAAGACGAGGTAATAAAGATGTAGTACTACAGAAGAAATCGGAGAATACCATGGAATTAACATGTGGGTAACGAGGAAGTTATAAGGATAATAGTAACATAAATGACGCTCATACTTAGACCCAGGGAGAGAAAATTAAAATTTCTGGACAACATAATGAGAAAAGTGTGCTTGGAGAAATTGTCACTCTCCGGACATATTGAAGACAAGAGGTAAAGTATGAAACAGCGAATAACATATCAAAGATGTTTGTGTAAGTAGAGGGCAAAACGGCGAGTTGGAGTGATAGGAAATTATATTGCGACATGAGCACCCACACCCTGAAGAGACAAGACACAAAGAAAATGAAGCGTGATACTAAGCCAGAATTGGAGAGCACACAGTAAACATGGCGCGCTGATATGAATTTAATTAGGTTTTGTTTTTTCATCTGTTTGAGTGCACAATTAAAAACAGCCTGTTATTGAGCCGCGATGCAGATCACGTTGTTGGAAGCAGGCACAGAAAATGAACTACAAGTACTCCTACGGAAAGCAGTGAAGGAAAGCAAAAAGAAAGGACTAATGATCAATTGCAAGAAGACATAATATATGGTTTCCAACAAAAGGAACTGCCCAACATGCAAATTAAAAATTGGATATACCAAAATCAAACAAGTAAAACAATTTAAATAGTTGGGGGCGTCTTTTCACAGAGGGCGGAATGTTCGACACCGAAATACGAAAATGAATTGCGATAGCAAACGATAAAGTCGAAAAGCTACGCAAAATATTAAGAAACAGGAAATTTTCTTATCTGTCTATAATTTTATGTACATTATTTACATTATTCGGACTATTGTCCTCATCTTTGTTGCTATATTTATTCCAACGTTTCGGCCGTTGTACGCGCCGGCCTTCTTCAGGTGGTTGGAATGTCGAACTGAACCCTTTATTTCGCTCACTGGGATAGACTGTTCTAGTTCCACGTACCATGTTTAATGGATGTCAGTTATCAGTTATCTCCTGTTAATTTCCCTCTGAAAGTTCTCCACTGCCTTAACCGGGTATTGATCTCATACTCTTTGGGTCCTGTCACTGGATCTAACCAACGCCTTTATCCACCGTGTCCTTGAGGAACAGTCTACCCCAGTGAGCGAAATAAAGGGTTCAGTTCGACATTCCAACCACCTGAAGAAGGCCGGAGCGTACAACAGCCGAAACGTTGTAATAAATATGGCGACAAAGATGAGGATAATACTCAATATTAATACTTAATAAACTAAATAATGTCGGAAATTTTCGTTAGAAATAAAGAAAAGAGTACTGAAATACTACGTAATATCAGCTCTTCTATGTGGCAGTGAATGCTGGACAATCTCGCCCCAGATGAAGAAGCAACATAAGAAAAACGACGAAGTTTGGAGAAAATAAAGACAAAAAGGAAACCTATTCTTAATATCAGGAGAAAACTGAAATTTCTGGAGGACATAAAGAGGAGCTTGCGCAAATAGAGGGCTGAAGAAAGATAGAAAAAAGAGAAAATTTGCTAAAAGCTCCAAACGACAGTAAATCCTGAAAAGGCATAGTCACGAAAGTCTTGAAGGGACACGGAACATAGATGTCGATAAATTATAGGCAACAGAAAGGTAATTATGGATGTCAAAATTCCCCTTTCAGGAAATCAAAATCCCAAGATGGAATTACACAATTAATTCTGATGGCTGATTATTTGGTTAATTTATTCTTTGTTTAGAGAAAATCTTTCAATACCCCTCGATTTTCTTTCTCTCTGTGTGTGTGTGTGTGTGTGTGTGAGAGAGAGAGAGATTTTGCATTCGAAGAGCCTTCATATTTATTTACATAGGTCATTTGCAAGTTTCCACACGTCGTATTTCGCTTACCCTTACTCTTTCTTTTTTCTTTTTTTCCATGTCTTCTATTTCATCCATGCCGAAATCTTCATTTTTATCTTTATTTTCATTTTGTCAAACTTTCTTTCTTTCTTTCTTTCTTTCTTTCTTATATATCTTTGCTTATTTCTTTCTTATTGATTTTGTCTCAATTTTTATTGTTTTAATTTTTTGTTTCTTTCTTACTTTCTTTTTCTTCCGTTCTTAGTTCATTTCAGCTTTCTTTCTTTCTTTTTTAAATAACTTTGCCATTTCTTCTTTTCTTACTCACCCACTTCCTTTAGTTTTTTCTTTCTTCTTTTTACTTTTCGATAGTCGGCTCCTTCATTCATTTTTTCATTAACCTTTTTTTTCTTTTCTTTTTCTTAAGTACCTTTGTCTACATCCTTTCTTTCTTTTTTTCTTTTCTTTCTCCATTCTTATGTACTTTATTTCCTTTCTTTCGTGATTTCTATCTTGTTTGCTTTCTTTTTACACATGTACCTTGTCTCCTCCCTTTCTTCCTTTCTTTTTACCCATGTACCTCGTTTCCTCCCTTTCTTCCATTCTTTTTACCCATGTACCTCGTTTCCTCCCTTTCTTCCATTCTTTTTACCCATGTACCATGTCTCACCCTTCCTTCCTTTCTTTTTACACATGTACCTTTTCTCCTCCCTTTCTTCCTTTCTTTTTACACATGTATCTTGTCTCCTCCCTTTCTTCCTTTCTTTTTACACATGTACCTTGTCTCCCCCCTTTCTTCCTTTTTTTAAACATGTACCTTGTTTCCTCCGTTTATTCCTTTCTTTTTACCCATGTACCTTGTCTCCTCCCTTTCTGTTTACCCCTGTACCTTGTCTCCTCCCTTTCTTCCTTTCTTTTTACCAATCTACCTTGTTTCCTCCCTTCCTTTTTTCTTTTTACCCATGTACCTTGTCTCCTCCCTTTCTTCCTTTCTTTTTTACACATGTACCTTGTCTCCCCCTTTCTTCTTAAACATGTATCTTTCTTTCTTTCTTTCGTTCTTTCTAATAGCTTCACTATCCTGACATTATCACTGGCTGTTTTTCTCACCTGCGTTCATGTATCATCAAACAAAGCTAACCTTTTTTCGAGGCTTTGTGCAGCCATAATTCCAATGCTATTATCGTCTGTTAGAACTGAAGGCAAGAATTTGATTTCCCACCAAACACATGCAACCAATATAAAATGTACAACAGTTCGTCCGTGTGTATCTATCTATCTATATATGTGTGTGTGTGTGCAATAAACAGTATAGATGAGATTGTTCGGAAGGCAAAGCTTCCTTTTTGAAAAAGGAATAAAACGCGTTTAAACGTAACGAAATTCAAAGTCATTTCCAAAGACCATGGTCGTTTATATGACAATGCCAAAAAGGCCGCATGAAAGTAATTCCTTTCTTCTTTTTGATATTATTTTTCTTGTTCAAAGAGTTTCTAGTTGTAAACGAAAAGCCGAATTGATCTGTTACTTACTCTGACAGTTTTTGCTTATAAAAGAACTGTTCCAGTGACCTGAATATATGAAGAAATGTTGAATTCTATGAATGCTGACACACACAGTTCGGGTTTGATCTGCTCTACAATTCTGGATATTATGTTGAACATTCAAAGAATGTTTTGAGCAATTAACTTCATTCTTTTTGTTATTTTCTTGCCGAAACGGTTCGTCTGTTCAATTCTATGGCTTCCTTCATCTGTTTTGCCTGCTCGGTAGAGCCAAGCAAAAAATGTGAATAAGAAAAATAGCGAATTGTTTGTTTTTATAAAAATGAAAAAAAAATATCCACATTAAAACTGGGAGAACTTATGTGTTGTTGAAAATAGAATAACTTTTTAACGTTTTGTGTCTCTGTTTAACACCGTTTTTTTTTTGTCTTTTTTTTCCATTGTTGATAAAGACCCGCGTTTATCTATAGGGGTCGTATACGTGAGAAAAGCTGTAGATTGGATCGACCCAAAAACAGTGGGGATAAAAATAATAGAAGCAGATATAGAAAGCCCGAAAACTGTTTTAAATTATTTGATCGTATTTTTTTTTTTATTTCTTTTTTACTGAATGTGTGTATATGTATTGTCGCTTGTTTTGTTTGTGTCGAAAAGCTCGCAATAGAAAATCTTCGTCTACGAGGGTCGGTTGGAAAGTTCACAGGCTAACCAAGATATCAATGTAAGTAGATACACTAGTTGGTAGACACAAAGACATGCTAGTATACAAGAATGCAACAGCTATCTCTCTCTCTCTCTATATATATATATATATTAAATACTTCTATCTATAAAAAGAACGTTAAACATAAAAATGTCTTTAATAAATAAATTGTCGGATTTGTCCATTTCTTAATATATGACGTCATTTGTTTACATTTGATACACCATGAGCAGTTATGAATGTACGAGATTCATGGAAAATTGAAGTTTATAAGCAGTAAATTCGACCTTGCCTACCGAACGCTCCTTTGTGTCCGAGTCGGTTAAGGCACGTCAGCGTAAATGACGGTTCCGTATAGGATGCAGGTACGAATCCTGTCAAAGGACGAATATTTTCTATAAAAATTTCTCGGACATTCAGGCCGGTAAATGTTATTTAATACTGTTTATTATAAACAGAGCATTTACTTAAATACTTCTATTTATAAAAAGAACGTTAAACATAAAAATGTCTTTAATAAATAAATTGTCGGACTTTGTCCTTAATATATATTATATATATATATATATATATATATATATATATATATATATATATAATTACAATGAAAAATTGACCAGGTGTGTTTGTCATAATACAGGGTGTGATTGATAAATTGTCTTCTCAATGATGCCAAAATGAAAATAACACTGACATCTCATTTTAACAGATATATTTACCAAAATTACACAAAAATAACTTTAAATACTAAAGAGTATTTTTTTCAATAAAATCGCCATTGGCTTCAACCACAGCCTCTAGACGAATTCGGAATCTCCTTCAACTCTTCTAGACGGTCTCCTTGTTTAAGTTGGTGAATGCTGCCATAATACTTGCCTTCAGTTCGTCTTTGGTGTTACAAGGAGTTTTGTTGGTCTCTCGCTCACATAATAATCAAGGGGATTGCAGTCTGGTGGCTAGATGCGTAACAAAAATTATCTAACAGATATGACTGAGTGCTCCTGCTTGAATGACATGGTGCAGAAACCTGTTTCCAAATAAGGCACTTGGCGTGGGTCTATGTGTCGAGTCTGAGGCCCTCACTAACAAATTCGGTAGATCTTTTCTTATCAGAACGATCCGTACCGTGCCGTACCTTCAAAATCACTATTAGAATTATCCAATTCTTTCCTTTGCACTGTCGTCAGATTGACACTCAAACGCCCTAAAGTGTTGTATTGGAGCTTCTGGTGCGAATGCCAAGCAGTACAGCATACCGTTCCAAATTTCTCGCGGAATGAATTGCATCATGGTGCTCTTTTCTCATAGACGGTGCTCAACTGACCCTTACTTATACTGTGCAGTCGACAAAATCAAGAGCAAACAATGCGCATGCGCGAAATTTTTTTTTTTTAAAAACTGACGACAATTTATGTATCGCACCATGTATATAAATTTAACAATGTTAAGTAAATTTTAGGAATAAAAAGACAACAAAATGATAACAATACACACACACACACACATATATATATATATATATATATATATATAAGTAAAACTAGAGAGCCAGTTAAACCTACCTCGGTTTCATCTACGTGAATCGTCAGTCCTGACGATCCGCGTAGGTGAAACCTAGGTAGGTTTGTCTGGCTCCTTAGGTTCTCTTAGTTTGCTCTACTTAGCGTATAGAGCACTTTGCTTAGTCATTTTTAATTTACTCGTGTCAGAGGTTTTTTTCTTTGGACTCTGAACTTTGATTCTAGACAATTATTTTCGCGGGAAGTACATGTTCCTTAGTTTTTTCTTTTATCCTTTTTTTATCCCTAGGGTATTGGTTTGTTCATTTACACGCGTAAACACCTAAGGTTTTGCCGGACGAGTATAGCTGCTTATACTTATAAGATGATTAATATATATATATATATATATATATATATATATATATATATATATGTGTGTGTGTGTGTGTGTGTGTGTGTGTGTGTGAAAGTGTGTGTATATAAATATAAATAAATATATATATATATACATATAATTATTTATATATTATATGCGCGGTACTTATTAGAAAGCGCTCAATATCAGAGACAGAGCTAACATATTTGGTTGGATAGATGTGACATGTATACATTCACGAGAAATTTTCGCTACACTCCCAATCTTTGAATTTCAACATACAAATGCGTATGTATAGACCCAACACCACCCGTATACATACATATGTCATATCCGAAACTGCCCACATATGTTTATATATGTATGAGTCCCGACGGACGACCAAGTATGTATATGTGTCTGCGTACTCCATTAGGCGTATGAACATACATCGATGTTTGCGTTAGTACGATGACACAACGACGACGTTTCCCCCACCACTTCCATAATAACACCAATACACGCAATCTACATGAACCCAAAATTTTAAAATATTAATCAGTTTGACGATCGCTAATGCGTGTAACCCAAGGTCACAAACTCACATCTATCCAACCACAGATATATATATATATATATATATATATATATATATATATATATATATATATATATATATATATATATATATATATATATATATATGTATATATATGTGTGAGTGTGTGTATTAGTAGGCCGTTTGACTAAATTGAAGCAAGAAGAAGAAAATTCTAAAGTCAGATTTTTTCGGAAGCGCCTGTGTCCTTTAACGAGACGAGAAATAAACAAAAGAATTGGGACTTATTCTTCCGGAAGGTGAGTCTCAATTCATTGTTCATTTCAACATTGTTATCATTTTCTTGTCTTTTTATTCCTCAAATTTCTTGACAATCCTATTAAATCTCGCTCTCTCTCACTACATATATATATATATATATATATATATATATATATATATATATATATATATATATATATATATATGAGAACATTTTAATGAAAGATACAGATAAAATACTAACGGCCTTATTTTTAAAAAGTTTCACAATTTCATTCTTTTCTTTCATAACGAGAAATGCCAGCTTAGAAGGAAAGTGTGCTAACGATGTATTATTTAAGCAGACACACAAATACGCACATTTCATACTTTCGTTTTTTTATCTAATGAAGTCGCATAATCTAGTTTCAATGAAACAGTTTATCCATTTGTCATATTCTTCAAACTTTGGATTCTGTATCATAATTTGCACACATACACACGCATTTATATATATATATATATGTATGTAAATGTACAAACATAATAGGAAGACTGTAATAGTTGTCGACGCGTTTTGTTCGATGTGGAGTTTTTCAGAGCAAAAAAAAACGAAATGAATTTATTGAACAAAGTAACTAATAACAACAAAACAAAATGTCCTTAGCAACTGGAAGAATTTAGAGAACGCTATTTTCATACTGTTAACTGAAAATTACGTCATGTACTGTCAAGTGTGGAGATACTGTTTAACAGAATTACTACTCTCCCAAACAAACGTATAGAACAGTATCAAGAAATCAAAAGAAAATGGTTGAATCCCCAACACAGCAATAAAAACAATATATCCACACAGTAACATATAATATATATATATATATATATATATATATATATATATATATATATATATATATATATATATATATATATATATATATATATATATATATATATATATATATATATATATATATATATATATATATATATATATATATATATATATATATATATATATATATATATATATATATATATATATATATATAGAGAGCGAGAGAGAGAGAGAGAGGCGAGAAAGGAATATATAACCAGATTGTCAAGATATTAGAATGCTTCTGAAATAATTTAAATTAAGCTAATATGACAATAAAAACAACTAGAA